TCTTCTTCTTCTTCTTCTTCTTCTTCTTCTTCCTCTTCCTCCTCCTCCTCCTCCTCCTCCTCCCCCCCCAGCAAATGGTGAAAACCCAGGTTGTTTTGTCCATTTGTCAATGTAATGGGCAAACCCAGAAAAAGAATTAATTCACTAGTCATGTAATGAATAAAATAAACAGTTTGGTTTGGTAATCACATGTAAATTGATTTTTAAATTCATTTGTTTTCTGGGTTTGAACAATCTATTTTGTATGGATTTTGCTAGGCTTATAGACTGCTCCAGTTATCAACAACTGTGTGAAATATATATCCTAACACCCATAAATTGGTTTAAAAACAGGGTTATAAAAAGAAAACAGATCAGTAATACTATACAAACTACATATAACCCCAGGGACAATAATTAAGATAACTAACAATTAGAAGAGTTTCATTGTCAGAGAGAACAAGATCATGGCCTCCTCATTTATATTCTCTTCTTATGGTTCTAATTTCAGCATCTTTTGTGCTTAGTCTAAAAGAGGGCTATTGATTTTGCTTTCTCATTTGCAGAGTCACCCCCACAGCCCATTCTGAAAATTGTTCCTGTGAACACCCAGGAGAAGAAGATAACCAAAGTGATATGTGCGGTACCTTACCATTGCCCTCACAAGCTAGTAAACTTGACTTTGAATGGTTTAGAAGAGGAACGTTTTCTGCAACAAAAAAGGAAGGTTGGAAGTGGAGTGATTCTGACTTCCCTGAGCTTTGAACCAACGTGGGAGGATGATGGGAAAATGCTGAGCTGTTTGTTCAAGTCAGGGGCAGAAGTGTTATCTCAGAACACTGTGAAGTTGGACGTGAAATGTAAGTGTGCAGCGGAGAAGGAAATTGCCCTTTTGAATGATGGTGCAATCAGGACAGAATTTGGGGCTAGAAGCTTAGGAATCCACCTAGCAAATGAACAGAAGGCCTCCAAGCATAGCATGGTTAGTTCTGAAACTAATGTAGTCATATTGGGTGTGAAGAGGAGCCAACCAATAAAGACCATAGTTTTGAACTATGTAACTGACTGATTTGGGGACTGAGAAAGTTCTACTCAAAATGAGTTAAATTCAGTGGTGAGATTCAAATAATTTAACAACCAGTTCTCTTCCCTAATGATTGCTTCCAACAACCAGTTCAACAAACTGCTCAGAAACCTAACAACTGGTTCTCCCGAAGTGGTGCAAACTGGCTGAATCCCACCACTGGTTATATTCCATGGTTTTAAAAAACTTAGGAAAGTAGTAAGTCTCTTTTACGTTGAGTTGACTGCAGTTGACTTAATGGATAAATCCACACAATTTTCTAATCAGCAATATTAAAATAGTTGGTTAATTTTATGTTATCTAGTACAGGGTTTGTTTTGAGTTCTTGGTCTAGTACACAATCCTGATATTTCAAGATGAGCTCCCATCAAACTTCTAAACAGGGCTAGTTTCCCAAGATCTGCTAAGGCCAGTAAGTATTACTTTCTGCTAGGACTTCAATTAGGTTACATGAAAGCTGAAAGCTATGAAGCTCCAGGAATGAATCTTGGGAAACTCAATGGTATTGATATCTCTGTATATATGCATATGTATATGTGTATATGTGTACATGTGTACATGTGTACATGTGTACATGTGTACATATGTACATATGCATATGCATAAAGATATCTATATCTATATCTATATCTATATCTATATCTATATCTATATCTATATCTATNTTCGGTGACTCCATCCAGCCACCTCATTCTCTTGTCATCCCCTTCTTCTTTTGCCCTCCATCGTTCCAAGAATTAGGCTCTTCTCCAATGAGTCCTTCCTTCTCATTAGGTGGCCAAAGTATTTGAGTTTCATCTTCAGGAGCTGGCCTTCTAAAGAGGATTGATCTTCTCTAGGACTGACCAGTCCAAGGGAGTCGCAGGAGTCTTCTCCAGCACCATAGTTCAAAGGCCTCCATTCTTTGACGCTCAGCTTTTCTTATGGTCCAGCTTTCATAGCCATCCATTGCAACTGGGAAAACCATAGCCTTGGCTATACGCACTTTTGTTGGCAGGGTGATGTCTCTGGTTTTTTTAGTATGCTGTCTAGAATTGCCATGGCTTTCCTCCCCAGGAGCAAGCCTCTTTTAATTTCTTGGCTACCGTCCCCATCTGCGGTGATCTTGGAGCCCAGGAAAGTAAAATCTGTCACTACCTCCATTTCTTCCCCATCTATTTGCCACAAATTGAGAAGGGTGGATGCCATCATCTTAGCAGAACACATATAGGAGTTGGAGGTTAAGTTTCCCTTTCTTGGCCACTAAGACGGGACTTAAAACTTGATTAAAAATAGGCAGCTGATGAATGGAAGCCACATTTATCACAAATAAAATGCTTGTATTTTCAGATATATACATGTCATGATTTGAAAAACCTTTTCAGTTTGTGATTTTCAAAGGCAGAGAAAGCCATACAAAGAGAGGTTTCAAAACCAGTGTATTGTAGTACTCCCTACTGTGAGAAGATACTAACACTGCCTCTATCATAAACAATAAGCCCAAAACACCATTAGACTGTGTCTGGCATGAGAAATATGTGTCTTCCAGATTTGGGCAACATTAATTATACCATGAAGTTGTTTCTGATTCCTAGCTACTACACAGATATTCTCTATGAGATGTTTCATCTAACATCTTAGTATCTTCTGGTCCAAGATACTAAAAATGTCATTAAAAAAAAATAGGACACAGCATGTTTTCAAAAGTTGCCTATTCTTAATGTGCAACATTTAGGTGGGCTACATAAATATTTGTAAATCATAATGATTTGTCTATTGCAGGTTTCCATTGTGATGAAAATCCAATAAGCATAGTCCCTAAAATTTTGTCTGCTTGGGAAAAATCCTGCGTGGTGATTCCGTGCCATATTAACCAGATGCTCAGTTCTGGAACAGTCAATGTCACAGGCATAGTGTGGAATTTTAAGCCTTTGGGAAAGCATACCTGGAGCGAGGGGGAAACTATCCTGTTGTATAACAGTTCTCAAACCTCTGGAACCATCACAACTGTATCTGAGGATGCTTTACCAAGCCGGACATGGTTCATTGGGAATTTAACAAATAGAGATTGCAGTTTGTTGATCAGTCCAGTGCGAACACTTGACAGTGGCATATATAAAGTAAAGACGACTGTTTCCGTTGACAAATACCCATGGCAATTCAAGCGGTCCCTTAGTGCTTCACTGAATGTTACAGGTAAGAAATGTTCAGTCTGAGTCTCACCTGACAGAAAGCTCTGTTTTTTATGTCCATGTATTCCCCACCCCCCCAAAGAAGCATCTTTGATAATTGGTAGCTTCTAGTATACAAGTTAATGCAAAGTTAAGCCAGATGACGTGTTCTCACTACGTTTTTTTAATACATCTTGGTTCCCATCAATTTTCTATCTCTTGTTGTCTTAAAAAAAACCCCTCACCTCTCTTTTGTCTACATTTTGGATCATCTTCAAAGCTTCAGGTCACAGGAAAGATAACAGAAACAGATTTCAATTCATCACAGAATCGTAGGGTATTCATCCCAAAGCACTTAGCTGAATGTCTGTGCAGATTCTCAGTCATCCAGGTCATGGTTGTCCCAAAGGTGCTTTTTCAAGAGGCAACTGGACTTTCTGGTTATTCTTTGAAGATGTTTCTCTTTTCACCCAAGCATCAGCTCCTCCTCCTCCTCCTCCTCCTCCTCCTCCTCCTCCTTCCTCTTCCTCTTCTTCTTCATCTCCTCCTCCTCCTTC